TCCCTTTCTGACAGACCTATTTCAAAACAGCGCCAACAAAAACCAGCAGGAAGCGAGCGAGGTCAGGAGTATGCAGGTAATGTAAGCAAAGTGCAGCAGATTTCGTAAATAGGAAAAGTTCAGTGGCACTTCTTCTCTACACAGAAGGCAAAAAAAAAAAAAAAGGAAACATGTTTTAGGGGATTTAAAACAGGTTTGTTTATTTATTTAAATAAGAAACTTTCTGGAATTTTACAAAACTCACCGGCTAGTGATGCACTGCTCTTTTTTTCCCGCCCGGCTGGGTGCCTGGCCCTGGGTTTTGGGGAGGGACGGCAGTGACATCTGGTGGAGGCTGAGCTCCCAGGGCCCGCTACAGGGTGCATTTCACCCTCGCCGTCGATACGGACGTAGCAGCGGTTTGAGCGCTGCTCCCGTTTTCCTCTGCAACTTGGATTTTTCAGCAGGGAAGTCCCAGTGGGGTGCTTCAGGCCTATACAGCAATTTTCTTCCCTCTCTCCGTATGCTAGCACCTGCTCTGAGTTTAGAGCCTTGCCCGCCTTAAGTATGAGTTTAATCCCCGAGAATCCCGGCAAACCCAATCCACTTCTGAGTATGAGCTGTTTTAAGCCTTTGTCTTTATTTGGGGGTATGGTGAAACGACTACCTGTAATGAGCTGTGAGTTTAACTGTGTTTTACCTAGGTGACAATAAGTAATAGGGTTGCAGCTTTGTCCTCTCCTGGCTTCCTCCCTGCAAAGGACCTGGGATGCACTGTAAGAGATGTGGGGTTTGGGACCTGTTTGTTGGATGCTTTCAGAGCAAAAGACCCTTCTTTGGTGTTTTTTCCCTCTCAGGCCTCTTTGTTGTAGTCTGCAGGATCTGCCTGGTCCAAAATCCTTCTGCAGTACACCTCAGAGAGAGCTTTTAATGATTCCTCTCAGTCTAACCGGACTAACCTTCATCCTACCATATATTTAGCTGTTTCAGCTGCCAGGTCATTAAAAACTAGAGAGCCCCCACTTCCATGGCAATGAAGGGCTAAAACAACAAGCGACTTCCAGTTTTACCACCCAGGTGATCGCAGGCTGACTTTGTGCTGTTCCTCAGCCATCACATAGTGAACTCAGTGCTCAGTTTTTCAGGTAGGAGCTGTAACAGCAGCGTGGATTTGCCTTGATCTGCAGTGATTTCCTTGTGTTTCTTCCCAATCGCAGGCAAGGCTTATCAATGCTTCCCTTCACACTTCTGATAACAACTGACCTTCAGCTGAAAAGGGATCTTAATAACTTTGATCTTTATTAATGACCTCAATGACTGTGATCACTAGTCTCTACTGATACAAACTGGCCACAGTGAACCGGTATCCTTCTTACAAACTGGCCACGTGAAAACGTGGCTGCTTATTTGAGTAGCGTAATCAGTAACCACATCTGAACAAAGCTTTCAACCGTGTGGCCTTGGTAGCAAGATCAAACACTCAGCTCAGATGAATACAGACTTGGAGAACATAATTTGCCAAGCTATGCAGTGGCTTTCTGTGCACAAGCAAGTCCTCAGCGCAGAACTGCAAATTGTTCAAAGTTCATCAGAAAAGTCAATTCCCATTTGCCTTTAACAGTGAGTGGGTGTTCCGAGGGAGTCGGATGGATGTAGGGTGAAGAGAGATTACTGAAAATTAGGGTTACTGAACATATGGCTCAATGTACTCGACCCTATGTTGTTAAGGTAGAACATAAAAAATGGTATCTGTTTCATCTCTAGTGTGAAAGAATTGGACTAGATTTGCCATTGTTTTTTATTTACATTGCAAACATACTGACTGGCCCTGTTCGAATTGCAGCCAAAATGTGGCAGAAGAAACAGACTGTGCCCATGAAGGGTTCGAGAGAGCTGGAGGAAGGCTGCATTACTATTTTTGTTTACCGATGGGACATTTGAGGGCAAGGGCATTGATGGGTAGGGAGCCAGGGGCAGAGGTCTGAAGTGGGAATGAGCAGTCCAGGGCCGCGTTTTCACCGTGAAGGCAATCAATCAGTGCTGCCCACTAACTGCTCTTCACGCCTTTCCCTTGTTGTGCCGCGGGAACGCGATCGGTTCTAGCAGCAGTGGGTGGAAAACATCTGTCTCGCAAAGCTTTTGCTTCCTTAAAAACCACAGTCTCAGCAATTTCTACATGACAAGAAACAACTTTGTTATTGCTATCCCTGTCCAATTTCATGTCTAGAGCCCACAAAATCTTATCAGCATGATTAAGTGCGCTGACTTCAGTACTCATGCAAGCAAGGGTTTCCAGGATCTGACCCTTTGTTACTCATTTGAAGAAGCTGCAAGTAAGCAGGACTTTCCTTCCCAGCCGAGCTTTGTCACAAATTTTGTTTTTTTGCTTTAGATGTGCTTACTTGTAGTGCACCACTTTCTTCAGTTTGCTGTTAAGAGTCTCATCTCGTCTGATTTTCTTTGCTGAGTCCCTAAGCTGTAGTTTGTTCAGCTTTCATTAGAAAACAGAAAGGAGGTAGCTGTCTCCTGTTGAGCCCAAATGACTCCTCTCCCATTTCCCTTGTAACTGTTCGGGGATTTTTGTGCCCGAACTTCCTTTCACTCCGCCTTTACTACAGCTGAGAAAATACACTCCATTGAAGAGTGACGTCCCAGAAGCCCTGGAATTACCCAGTTTATACCTCCAGCAACTAATGAAACACACTAGCTTGATTAATCTGCACCGTGTTCAGTGGTTTGGTTATCCCATGTTATTTTCCCAGAGTAGGAGAATTAAATTCCGTCACAGCCAGTGGGGTTAGTTTCTTGCTAGAAGAGCAAGAAAGAGAGAAGACACAAGTGTAGTTGTGTCTCATGACTGACACGTCCTGCCTCCAGAGCCTCCATGTCTTGCTATCCTTTGTGTTAAATGCCACTGGATTTTAGGGTGGGTAGGAAGAAGGCAAGGGGGTCTGAGAGGGAAGTCTGCAGCAGCATAGCGCACGTTCAGTGCCTCTGTCACGTTTTGAAGGTTAGTGGGAAAGAAAGGGCAGAGGAAAGTTCTTGTAAAGCTTTAAAAAGCCCAATGGTTTTCCATTTCTTTTATGATTCTGAAGTAACTTAGGCTGTTATAGTCTGAGTCCCCTCTGAAAGGCCATAAATCATAGCAACCTGGCTGTATTGCATCAAATTAGGAACTGTGGGTTGAGGAGAAAGCTGTTAAAATCTTGATGGATTTCAGAAATAAATAGCTGTGTCTACACTGAGACAAGTAACATTTATGCAGACAGATGAAATGCCGAGTTCAGGATGCCGTAGTTTCAGGGACTGTACACAGTGCTAATTTTCCACTCAGGGGATGGTAGAGAAATATTTCAGAGACTGTGACTGCTATTAGATTCTGTCTAATATATCCATAAGATCTTGAGGCAGTTTATAATACAAGGTCACATTTCTCATTTTAGTTTCTGTAAGCAGAAGAAGAAAAATGATTCAGGAATGGAAAAAAACAATTGTTTAGATTCCATAAAACCTGAGTTACTTGTGTTGGGTGTCATCCTAAAATTCCACATCAAGAAAGATGGTTATATTTAGTCTCAGATGGATATTTGTCATAGGCTTTGTTTCTTCTTTGAGTCGTGAAATGGATCAGAAAATCACACGGGTTTTGAGAAGCACAAGCTGATCTATCATTTTCTTCCCAAACACCTTTTAATTTTATCCCACTAGGCTTGGTATTGATGGATTTGTGTGGGAAATAATTAAAAAAAAAGGCACAGGTGAAAATCTGTGCCTCTTCTTCTGCCTCCGCTTTCTAATCTAGGAAAATGATTGATTGATTTTTCCTCAAACTGTAGATATTATCCCCTCGGACAACTTTTTTGCTGCTGGGAAGCACACAGAGGGTTTGCCATCCTAAAGTGGCATAGCAGACCAGAATTTTTCAAAAGAGCTCATTTAAAGGACCACAGTCACATTCTGAATTGGGAATTCAGAATCGGGAGAAGCTACACAGGCATTAGCATATAGAGATTCTTATAGAGGTGTAGTAGGATGAGGTCTTGGGTCCTTGATGAATTCTGTTAAGTGCCCAAAGAGAGGGGCCTGTTGCAAAGTTAGGTACCCCTCCTGTGACCATGAGCAGCCTTGTGGTTCTGCTACACATGTGCAGGCTCTTTGTGCTTAGTTACTCAAGTGAGCAAACAAAACAAACTGTAGGCAGAGAGAAAATGCTAACAAAGCCGGGCGCCCGGGATCCGGGAACCAGTATGCACGATGCTTCCAGTGCGCTGAGGACACCAGGATGCACATTCTTGCGTGAGAGCCCAGTGAACTCACAAGACCTTCCAGATGCTGGGTCTTGGCGCACTGTGTTGGCACAGAAACAAGGCAAATACACGAGGGAAGATCAGAGTAAGGAAAACAAACAAACAAACAAAAAAAACAATTAAAATGAGTAGTAGCTTCCCCTCTTCCTCCCCCAGACCTCGTTCAAGTTGTGGGATAAAATCTCTTGCTCCACCTGCCATTTTGAAATTTTGCTGGTTCCTTCTTGGCAAGAGGGAATTTGGAACACTTTTCCTGGCACGGGCTCGCTCCTTAGCCCCTACTTGACCTCCTCTGGAGCTGCTTGGGGATGATGCATTTTCTTTAAATCAGAGCAAGGAGGCGGATACCACAAACTGGACTTTTCTTCTCGCTGTGCTCTGCTTTGCAGAGGTGATGTAATCCCTTCTGTAATGCTCTCCTTCCTCGGTAGGCACCACAAAGACCACAATTCCCCTGAGGAGCATACGTCTTGCAGCCCAGCAGCACATGGGGAATGCACGGCGCCTCTCGTGCCCGTTAGAACATCAAATACGCACAGTTGCTGTACTTTCTTCTGTGTCACTTTTTGCATCGGGCTGCCAAAATGGGTTCAGGGCGTTTTAAACTCAAATTGAGGGTGAATGACTTGCTAGAAGAGTTCCTGGCTCTCTGGATACCCCTCATATTGTAGCATGAAGGCCATGGCAGGACTCAGTCAAGTACAGTAATGTAAGCTCTTAGGTTCTGAATGAAAAATACCACGGGCACATACCAAAAGACTATAGCCAAAGGGAGGGCTATCAGATCCTCTTTTCTGATGGGAGCATGTGTCTGCTACTGAAGTTTTCTGTTGCAATTGAAAGTCTGGAAATTGGAATCTTTTACTGAGCCGAGAAACAAGGATTACACAGGACTATCTGCAGCAATGCATTTCCATATAGCTTCCTGCCCCTGTAGAGGGAATTACTTTCAAGGAGGGGTTACTTTTGTCTTCAGCTGCGATCAACCCTGAGTTTCTGTGCTAACACAAGTATGCACCCAGAGCAAGATCGCAGCTGTCCCTGTGGCCAGCTATTTTGTGCAGCTTCAGGGTGTGAGTGAACAGATCAGTTGTTCTGGAGCTGATGGATGGGACAGCGCAGGCAGAAACTTAAGATATATTTGAAAAAAGAAGCAGGGAATCCAGAGTCCCGTTGAATTCTTCCCTGCATTCTACCACATCATAGAAAGATGTTTTAAAATACCCTTTTTTACTGAGTGTGCAGCATAACTTTGCCTCTAGATGAAAAGTGATGGAGCAAGGCATTTGCTATTTTATAGCGTGTATGATCATTCTAAATAATGATGTTAATTCTCAGGCTGCTCTAAAATACAAACTTTTGCTCAGTAGCACTCTTCTTAGCTGGAATTATAGGAGTATGTATGCCAGAGCTAATGTATGTGTAACGTTCATTTGTTTTTACAGGTGCAAAGGGCCAGGTCTTGAAGGCTGTCCAAACGGGTGAGTATTTCATCTGTTGCAATTAACAATAGAGTTGGAAAGAATGCATGTATGTTTGTATTTCTGTGCTGTTCACTGCAAGGCTAGGCCTAAGGTTAGGTCTTCAGGTCTGCATATGGAAGTGACAGATTAGTGCAGGCTCAGACCTATACAAATGACTAAAGAACTGAGAAACATTCCTCATGGCAAAAGACTCCAAAAACTTACTCTGCATAGTTTGTCAAAAGGAAGGTTAAAGTGAGACCTGGGATCTGTCACTGGAGAACAAAAAGAGGAGTGGGAAAAAGAGAGGATAATCAGCTAGAGGCAGAGCCAGAGATGTTTTGATACAGTTACCTGCATTACAGGAGACTCATCTCAGATACCCAGAGGGTCTCTTCCAGCCCTGCAATCATATACATCTCCAGCCCTTCCTCTATGCATAGATGTCCATTCAGTCTTCACACTAGATCTTACTTTGCATCATTTGCAATGCCTTCCTGACTTGCCCAAGATCATGCAGCAAATGAACAGGACTTCTCTAATTAAGAGGCAGGGATTCAGCTTCTGGCCACCGAATCTTGCTATAACAAGACAAATTCAGCCTAGAAATACTGTTAAAATGTAACTTTTGATAGTATTCTCTGGGACAGCTTATAAAGAGTTGTGATGAATTCTCTAAGTACAGACCAAAAGACAACCTCAGAGAACAGGTTTTTCATTTCCACTTAAATTTGAAATGAAGCAGGCACTAACAAACAAGTACACAGCAAGCTGTACTTGCAACATGGATAGTTCACACATTACCTGACCTCAGACAATTGTTTGCATTAGGACCCCTCCACAATACTGAGATGTCAGCCTTGCTGATGGCTTCTGCAACTGCATATGCCTTCTTAGTATTAGCTTCCTTTCCATGCATTTCTTGTATCCGATGCTCTGCATGACAGGCATATGGAGGCATCATCGAGTTGATGCCGGTACAACCAGCAGGTTTGTCAGAGGGAGGAGAAATCCCTTTGCAGAGTGAGGAGCCTCTGCTATGAGGATCAGCTCCAGTTGTGAGTCTGAGGGAAGAGCGAAGATGGTGCCCCAAACAGCAATACTGAGCACCAGAAGAAGAATCCTCAAATGAGGAAGGAGGTGCTAGGAACAGATTTCAGCATCCTCTCTCTGCCTGCCTGGACAGACTATGAACATAACTTCTACTGTACCTTGAAAAGAAAGCCTGCAGAAGGTGTCAATAACTTGTCCTTACGGAGAACCTTTTCTTTCCCCTTCTGTTTGCAATATTGAGATCACCAATACATATGAGCAGGCCCTTCTCTGCAATGCTCAGCTCCTGCCACATGGCCACAGGAGCAGTTTTTAAAAAAGAAATAAAAGTGCCTGGATTTATTAAAGGGAACTTATGGATGTGGGGCAAAAGTGCAAACCCAGCAAAACAAACAGCACAAAATTCATAGGTGCACAACTCTGTGCAGAAACAATATTCAGAGGAGGGAGGAGGTGGTTAAGCAATAGAGGAGAAACCTCCAATGCCAAGCACAGTAAAAGTCAGTGTGCACTCATATATCAGTTGAGCTCTGAGACACAGAAGATCCTTTACCTTTTCTTAAAAAAAAAAAAAAAACTCGGGTTGAGGAACTTAAAAATACAAATACCCGAGGTATTTGAAATGTCAAGTAGGCTTAACTAGATGTCCAGTTCCAATGTCTGATGCTTCCTTCAACCTTCATAGGATTCTTTTTTTCAATCTTACACCTAAACATTTTTTCGCTGTCCACACCTCCTCCTGTCTTCCAGCTCCAAAATCCCGTCTATCGCAGCTGGTGTTGTTGGAGGTCTCCTGTGCCTGGTCGTGGTCGGCTTGGGCATCGGCCTTTACTTGCGGCGGCGCCACATCGTGAGAAAGCGGACCCTGCGCAGGCTGCTTCAGGAGAGGGAGGTGAGCCTTGCAATTGCAGCCAAAATGCCCAGCCAGCTTCTCGGAGCCAGCTGCTTTATTCAGGACGATGCTTTCTGGCCTCCTTGCACCAGCAAGTTAAGGCACCACAGACCTGCTTTGTAACTCAATAAGTCCTTGGTTTGGCAGCACGCAGGGTTTGCCGTGCTGGTTGGAAAAGAGGCCATTGTGCATATAACATCATCTTCTCACTTAATCTTAAGTCTGATCTCCATGGATATAATTTTCAAAAGCTTTAGGGGATTTAGAGGACTAAACCCCAATGAAAATCACTGAGATTGTCTACTCAGAGAAAAGACTAAGCCTTGAGGGTGAAGTAAATTGTATTTGCTGTTCTGTACTACCTCGCTCTGTATATCCTCAGTATTGAATCATTTCTCACTCCAGACAAGCCTTTAGGCTGCTGTGGCAAATTGGGTGCTTTTGAAAATTTTACCCCCTTTTGCATCTGATTCTGATGAGAAAAATGAGAAAGAAAGGATAGCAATGAAAGGAATGGAGGAAGTGTTTGTGCTTGATTTTGCTTGTTTTTAACACCCCCATAAGAGTTCCAAAGGCATCAAAATTAACCCTGCCTTTACTTATCCCCTGCCACCATGTCTTGCTTTGTAGTCCTATTGCTTGTTGAAGCTGGGGCTGGGCCGTGATGGTAGAAGTCTTTTCATTACTACAGTAGGTGCAGCTCAGGCAGTGCTAACCTGAAATTTAATTAAAATCTGTCGTTCCACACATGCAGCACTGTCCTGAATGCAGCGCTCTCCTCCCTTAGGCCACTGCAAAGTGAATGTTGGGCATGAGGGAGGTTTCTACACTGTTATTCATTTTCTGCATGGTACAGGTTTCATATGTGTTACAGAGTCACCCTGTGGGTACCTCCCATACGAAAAGGCAAAGTTCATTATCCCGGATCAAAATCACTCGTTTATAATGAGCCCCCTTCTCTTTCCAGTTCAGCTTCAGGAAATAACTAGCAAATTGGATGTAGCATTCCACTAAAAGCCCAGTTCCAGCTTCCTTCTGTGCTCACTGGCTTTGCAGGGTCAGGGGAAAAAAGCCTTCCAGCTGCCTTACTTTTCAATACATTACCTACTAATATTATATCATAGGCTGCAGTTATAACAGCAGAGTTCAATTTGCACTCAGCTTATATTTGTACTCATCAAAATGAGGATGTTTCTGTCACAGCAGAAAGGTTGCTGGCACACTAAGATCAGATTGTGTCTGGCCAAATATGGTCTTAACTCAAAGGAAAGGTAGAAGAAAATTACTAAGGGAAAAAGCTGACTTAAATATCAAAAATGCCTTAAATGTCTGTATTTGAAGAGCATTAGTGCTGTTTGCCTTAGGTAAAATATTACAATACAGCTTAGATCAAATTTCAAGAACATGAGTAGTCAATCTTAATATCACCTTTTTAATGATGAAAGAATCATGCTCAGAGTTTAAATCGCTGTTTGTAATCCCTGTGGTCTGGGAGAGCCCCCAGTACCATGGGAAATTCATCTAGTTAAACAAGAGCAAACCTGAAAGGTTGGAGGCGATTCCTGCATATTATTTGAAACATTTTTGTAATTTATTCGCAAGTTCAAAAAATTAATCTTATTTAGCATCTGTGGTAATTGCACTGTTCTTCATGGCATGTGTTTTAAGGCTTTGAAGTTTAAGTCTTATTTGAACAGTAGTATTCCTTCATTTTCCTTCAAAATGCCGGTAGCCATGCCAGAGTCCATTCTGTGTTATATAAATGGGGGGGAGTGGTATCACGGAGCTCATTTTTGATTGATTTTACATCTGAACTAACCCTCCTGACTGAAATCTGGAGCGACTCCAGATATGTATTGTTGCCCATCAGAGTGGACCTGCCCTCACACAAACTTCATGTGGGATGAAACGTGCATTATTTCAAACAAAGGACGACTTTGCTTCCGCGTTGCGCGCTGCTTGCTTTCTTCCTGGAGTGTATGTCCTTCTGAAGTCTTGTTCTGCTGTCTCTACCAGCTTGTTGAACCTCTGACACCCAGTGGGGAGGCACCAAACCAGGCTCATCTGAGAATTTTAAAGGAAACAGAATTTAAAAAGGTCAAAGTTTTAGGCTCTGGAGCTTTTGGCACTGTTTATAAGGTAAGATCCCTGTGTTTCCTTTCCCTCCTTCTTCTTGCTCCCACGTGCAGAAACCACCCAAGCGAAGCATGAATCGGGAGTTCAGAATACTCTTTTAAGTTTTTGTGTTAGCTTTTGTAGTACGTGTGTGTTGAACTGGTAGGGGGACCACTAAATCACCATTATTTGTTGTATGAATCAGTATATGGTGATAAAATGGGAAGTTTTATATAAGATGTTACCGTGGCCATACTGCTGAGCCTGGGACAAAGGTCTCTGTTTAAAAACTGCTGCAGCCAAATATACCCTGTTGTGAATATTAGGAAGAAAGGAAATTGCACTCTGGTCAGCTCAGTGCTAAGCAATTTTTCTGTGTGGTTTGGAGTCTTGTTTCTATAGCCCTCAATCACTCTTCCTCAATCAAGCAAACAGACTCAGATGTGTAGAAAAGAGTCTATACGCTTTCATTTGTGTAGTTCTATAGGCTTTTTTTTTTCTTTTTTGGTTTGTTTATCCCTTTCATTTCTTCTTCACCAAGTCCTGTCTTTCTGTACTCCTTCTGTTCAGTATACACGTTTCAGGCTTTTTCATTATGGCCGGTGGTACCGAAATATAAACGGTAGATTCCTGTATCTGTTTACAAAGCACTACGTTTTGGAGCAGGCTTCCAAACGTGGCTAAGAACAGGACGGGCACAAATCCCATTGACCTCTGAAAATGTGCACCTACGCTGCTAGGTACTTCAGCAGAGCTCCTCGTAGCGCCACGTGCTTCCTCTGCCTCCTAACTGAGCACCAAACCAGCTGGACATAAACATACCTCTCACTGTATATTTTTAGGACTGGAGTATTTATACAGAATCATTGCTGTCTCGTTTCCTCTGAGCAAATCTCAATTCTTTTCATGCTGCAGTTTATAAATTGGAAGTGGCAAGGTTTTGCACATGCAGTTGCCATGATGCTTAGTGTTAATTAGGTTTCCATCCACACAGGTTGCTTTTTATGCATCTTTTGGGCTATTTATACAGGTAAGGTGATGAACGTGGTTTTCAAATATGTGTAGTAGAGGTGACTGAAAGAGGCATACCACTCCATTAACAGGATCCTGTTAATGCCCACAAGACGCAATGATTATTTTATACTACTTGCTATATTTTTATTGTCTGTTTTGCCTTCCCGTTGCTCAGAATATTTAGTTCTACTCAGAAAATGTAAAATGGAGATGTAATTGCGAAAATTCATATATTGGTTATGAGCCTGAGTAACTCTTTGTACTTCTTTTCGTAGGGACTTTGGATCCCAGAAGGGGAGAAGGTTAAAATTCCCGTTGCTATTAAAGAGTTGAGAGAGGCTACATCGCCCAAAGCCAACAAGGAAATACTTGATGTAAGTTTTGGGTTTTTTTTTTTTTTTGCCAAGTTTGTCAGTGGTCTCTGAATTTTCCTCTCGAACAGCAGGATGGATTTCAGGGCTTTGTGTGGGAAGAAATACTTAGCACCCTAAACCAAATTCTCATACAGAGGTACTGTGCTGCTTTGCAGCTATTGCACAATTGCCTGTGAAGTGCATTTCTGTTTTCAGTGAACCTCCTTGTTCACAGTCCAAATACTACATTTACTACAAATACTACGTAAGGAGAGGTCAGAACCGCAAATTTTCAGCCAAGATTGTTTTCTGATGTTGGAGGCCTTATACTATGGCATTCATTGTCGTTATGGCAGTAAAAATGGAAACAAGAACAAGAATATCTGATTATCTAATCTGGACGTTGCAGATTGTGTTAAGTTAATTGCTTGGTTACATAGGATTAAATCTATTATAAAATCAAAATAACAAACCCCAGCTGTCTGGTTTCTCTGCCATGAACAGTGAGAAATTATATGGTTGCATGAAAGAGATGCAGGAATTTTTATTGTCTTCCTTGGATATACACTTTGAAAAACAGGGGAAAAAAGTTATGGTACACTGTTCCTTACGTCCTTTCAGGGAGACTGAGATCAGCAGTTCTCGAACACAGCTGGTCTGTATTAGCACCCCATGATACTTCCCAGGAGTTGCCTACAGCCACACTCCTAGGCAGGTCGCTGCACATGGTCACGGGAGGCTGGAAGATGGAGATGAACTTCTGGAAACAGCTTAACTATAGTTAATTGGCCCTTGCTTTAGGGATCAGGCCAGGGTCACGGCTGAACTCAGCCTGTGTGTGTACACCTGCCAGTGTTTGACGGGTGTGGATGTGTGTGCGCATGCATGTGTGTATATGCATGCTAACGTCCTCCACAAGGGTTTAAAAATGTGTAAATTTACAACAGAGGGGCCATAATCCCAAATCTAAAGCTCCTTGGACTTGGAGAACAGTCAGGAATGTCTAAAACTCTGAACTCTGTCATAACATCTTAATCCATATCACATAAAACACTGAGGATATGTATTTATACATGAGGCAAGAAAAACGCTGAGATTGCCCAGATGAGCACTCAGGTGTTCAGTATAGCTTCAGCTGAGCCTTCCTGCGCCTCTGTGCCATCATTCAATCCTTAGTCACATGAAACATGTTGCTTATATGAGTTCTGCTCTTCGGTGATATCAAAGTATTTTCTCTTTTTAAAGAAGTTTCTGTAGCATATCTCTGCATTATCTTTTTTTCTCTGAGAAAGTAGGATGCTTACCAGAAGGTCTTGCTGTTTTCAGTTTGTTCATTTTTTAGATGATCTGGTTGGTAGAGTTCATTCTCTATTTCAGAGGAAAAGAAAACCTGCAGAGACAGGGAAAGAAGTTGGTGGGGGGCGGGGGGCAACACGGAAAGCTCCTTTCAGAAAAGATTTTACTGCACAAGCAACTTTTCAAGCTCACTAAAACCTCAGAAATACTAATGTCCAATTAAAGGTCATTTGTCTTAGAGAAGCACGCGAGGTATAGAGCAAGTAAAACAGCTTTAGTTTGTGTAATCCAGGCGAGCTCTCTTTGGCTTTATTAGGGTAGGGCTAATTCAGAAGATTGTTGTTGAATACCACGCATACTTGGAGCAGGTCAGAGCGTACCGCCGAGATTTCCAAGATAAACTGTTGAAACAAAGGCCCGCTTCAATGTCTCAGCCTACTTAGAGGGACCCGCGGCTGCACAACGGTTCCCTTCTGCTTTCCGCCGATTTTCCTTTGCAGTATTGAATGCGACGGGGGGTGCGAAACCCCCAGAGCGCTCCGTGCGGTGTGGGGCTTTTCCCTCGGCCAAAATTAATACAAGATGGGTCTGGATGCCGACAGGAAACGGTGCAAGGAGCAGAGGCTCTTCATCGGTACGATTGCCTGGTTTTGCAGCCTGAGGAGATGAGCCTATTTTGCTCTCTATTTGTGACTGAGCATTGTAAAGAAGACTTGAAAGATTCTCTAAAAAAGGCTGCCAGAAATATCTGCCTAATTTATTAGCATGTTGTATTCTTGCTTAATCGTTTCTCAAGCTAACTTACAGAATCAGTGCTATCCTTGACAGAGGTTTGCTTTTCAATTAGCTTTCTCTGTTACGCAGTGGCTTGACGAGCCCTTATCCAGTTCTGCTGGAGATGTTCTTTAATCCGGCTGCCCAGAGGCCTCTTTCATCCCATAGGCTCTAGAGCAAGGAAACCAAAAGCAGAATGAGCACCTCAGAAGAAACTGCCCGGTATCTTAGCATTACATCCTGTTTTGCTTAGGCTGGCATGTCAAAGCAACAATACCAAGGGCAGAAAGTATTGTTTAAGAACCAGGGATGTTTATTTCTTGAACGTCATTGCTTTAATATCTTTATTTAATGATAGTTCTTCCCAGCTGCACATCTATGTGACATCTGTGGAAAGCTTTTTAGATGATGAGTAAAGTGCTATGGTATTTTATTTCTTAAGCTCTTATAAAGAGCAGATCTGCTCCTTTCCCTGTCACAGCAGTGTCTTGACTTTTGTTTTATGTTTCTTTGGGCTGCCAACCTATTGCTGAATTGTCAAGGGATAGTTAGTTGAAGTCACTCCAGATGCTGAGTTAAGGTGCTGGCCTAAAAGCTCACTGCATGGAAAAATTCTCATTTATTTCCCATTGTATTCATTTTCAATCAAATGGCTTCAGAAGATGACTGAAAGTGAAATACTGTAAATCAGGCACAAAGTTAGTAAAAGAACTTCAAATTTGATTTTTTTTCTCCCATTGGTATTCATTCTTTGAGCTGGCACTTGGTAGGGGATGTCAATATAAATGTAGATATCAAATCGAATTCCATAAGTGGTTTTTGCATGCAAAAAGCCTCAAGTGTGGGGGGGTTCTTCCCCCGCTGTGACCATGTTAAGGGATACACTCACTGTGTCAAACTTACTGCATCAGACTCTGGAGGGGTTTCTCTTTCCTTAACTGCAGAAAGAGCACAGAAAGAGGTATCTTGGGTACCTTTGGTAGGTGCCTAAAGGTACATAGAACGAACCAGGCCTGAAGGAAGAGTTCCTCAGATATCTGTATAACTCAAACCCCAAATTCCAGTTGACTAAAGGGTTCATTAGACATGAGCTCCCACATTTTAAGAAACTCACAAATACCCTTCTGATATCATTTACCTTGCTATATGGGTCTAAACCAGCTTTTCCAATCAGGCACAAGTGTTCCTGAAAGTAAGATGGCTATTCGGGCTTCTGAAGAGGTGAACTGATTCTTAACCTGTTTGGTTTGGCTTGGTTTGGCTTTTTAAGGAATAGGGCTTCTTTGACCATATTGTTCTTCTGTCTGTCAGTCCCATCCTAACTGACAGCTTTTGACCTTCTGGGTCAATAGTAAAGTTGACAGCAGAAGTGTCAAAAATACTGAATTCCAATCAGTTTTGTGAAAAAAATTGTGCAGGAAAAAAGCCGCATGACACAAAATGTTCATGAATTTTGTTGCCCTTGCAATTACATGTTCAAAATGCTGAACTGCCATCAGCTTCCACCGATGTTAAATTTATTAATTTCTCTTAGGTCTCTTAAGTTTGTTGCCCCAGAACTTTATGTAAAAAGTTTGCTTGGTGTACCAAAAGTGGGAGACAGGCTCTTCTGCTGCCATCTGAAGCAATGTTTCATGTTCAAAGTCTGGACCTTCCACTGAGTGGAAAAAACGTTGTCCCCTCAGTGGGAAATAACACTTTTGCATGTGACATGAGGCATGTTGTTTGCATATAGTATTTTAGTAACCTGTTAAGCGACAAACTTATTCTATACTGCCTCCAAATGTTTCTGTCACTCACCAGGGAGTGTTTCACGTTGCTTTCTTTCTTCCTTCCTTTCTTCTCAGGAAGCTTATGTGATGGCTAGTGTTGACAATCCTCATGTTTGCCGGTTGCTGGGGATCTGCCTCACTTCCACCGTTCAGCTCATCACGCAGCTGATGCCGTATGGCTGCCTCCTCGATTACATCCGCGAGAACAAGGACAACATCGGCTCCCAGTACCTTCTCAACTGGTGTGTGCAGATCGCAAAGGTACGCTGGCCAGCTGTCACTCAAAAAAGACTAAACAGACTCTAACAAAGAGTGCATTTATTTAGCTACCTGTCTATGCAGGTCTTCATATTTCACCATCCCTGGGGTTCCTAGATATTTTATACGTGGCAGGAAATTGTTACTTTTTTTAAAACATTTTACCATTTTCAAGCAACAGCAAAAACCTTAACTCTTCAAAATGTTCCTACACAGAGTATGCTCACTGGCGTGTGTATGTCCAAACCAAACATTCAGAAATACAATGTGCTACAATGAATCTGTGGCAGAGAAAGGAAAAGAATTTGGCAATTCTGATACCAAAATGCTGCTTCCATCACTGAATTTCTTTGGGCTGTGCCCCAGGGCAGACAGTGATGCTGTCAAATGCTCCCTGTTTTGTGCCCGAGAGTAATGACCCTGATTTTGCAGGCTGAAATCTCTGAGGCCTGGGGATCAAAACTGCTCCTTGATAAATACCAGCTTGGTTTTGCTGCAGGCTGGCAGGGACTGAAAGACATTCAGGCACCCTAGGGCTGTTCTGCAATTTACATGCACTGAATTGGTGCACATAATCTAATTATAATGGCCATCATGCCAAATGAAAGAGTCATCATCACACCTGGCGCTGGTTGCCTGCTCTCCGTTAAACTCAGCAAAGAGCCGAAGGAGAAGAGTAGCAAAGCAGGTTGAACTACAGTCGCCAGCCCCTAGCAGCAATATTCTGTGTTTGAAATATGGTCAGGCATTTGCAAGCTTAGAAGAATGGGGCAAAAAGAATAACTGTAGTTTGCATGAGATTTATTGTATGAGATAGCAATACCTGCAAAGCCTGGGTCCTTTAGCGCTACTCATTTCTGTAATGCCGGTCTGTAAGTTAACCACGCGCTTCCAGCCTTCTCGGTCCCTCGAGACTGAGTACACCATGCTTGTCTGGCTGTGGCTTGCTTTTGGGAAATATGCTGGGGACCTCAGAAATGTATCCACCAAAAGGATACAGAGCACATCTCAGGGTATTTTTTACAGCACGCGCTACAGCAAGTGAATTTTAATCTTTCTATCCACCTGTGATGTGAACTGCTGATATTGTGACTCTCTTTTGCTGTCTTGCTTGACATCAGTTACTGCTTTGTCTGGGTTTCATTCCCTCTGTAGGAAGGTCTGGCGGCCACGTTTCCCTTCTCTTCTTCCTCATTGATTTTTAAAGTGGCAAAATCGGTCCCTAAGTCAAACCATGGGGCATCGCATTTGTTGTGCACTTGTCTGAGACGTTGCCATTCACAATTGTTGCCTTCTGTTTGATTTTTTTCATGCCAATTCAACATTCACCCGTAGCAACCTCCAGCCTCTTCAGTGCCAGTTGACCTTCACCATACGCCTTTGTGTTGCTCCGCACTGAAGTTCTCCTCAAAGCGCTCATAAATAATGTGCATGGTTTTTTCCCACCGATGTGTCCAGTGTTGTTACTGTGATAAAGTCATGCCCAACTTTTTTACTTTCTCTGACTCCTTAAAAATGGACTTTTTGGCGGCAGGGGGATAGAATCGTAGCAAATATATTTGTGTCTGGTAACTAACCAGCAGGAGACGAGTTCCCCGAGAAGCTTATTTTTGTTTCTGTTTTCGCAGCTTTGAAATAACTTTTCTTAGTATCATTTATAAACATTATTTTGCACTGGGACAGAGTCATGTCTTTCAGACAAAATGTTATAACAGAAAGCATATACACTCCATGTGCAGCAACACAGTCAAGTAACTCTTTGAACACATTAGCCCCACACTTAATAATCAAAAGCAGTTTAAATCGCAGGCCTGCACACAATTACAGATCTGCTGAACTTTCTACATGAGCCGTTCAATGTCTTTGGTGTACAGTTATGCATGTGCACAAATGTTTTAGCTATCAGAGTCTTAAATATCTTAATGTGAAACTGATACTCTGCCTTTCAGCAGCTTTGAATCTTAAGCTTCTGCAGCACTACATGTTTAGCAGGAATTTTTTTGTTCTACTGGGGCTAAATTAAGTGATTTTTTTTAGCATAGCCTGTTTTCTGTCAGCAGCTCAGGATTTTTTTGTTTCAAAAGCCCTGCTCATTAAAGATATATTTATACAATTAAATTCATGCTCACAGCAGCGCTGTGCCAGTTTGTTTGGGTGGTTTGTTTTGGCAACATCCACAGCTCTCAGTGCATGGGTGAAGCACTGCTCAGAAACTTCAAGGGAGGGTTTGATGGTGGTCCAGGTTAACAGTGGGCTCGGGAAGGGGGTGGAAGCTGGAAGAGCACTATTCCTTCCAGTGCTCTGTCATCGCATTAATAGGGTCATCCTGGCGTTAATTTTGTAGGCGAGAAGTACTTTTTTGCTAGCTCTCTCTTCAGAAGCATACAAACAAATAAACCAACACAGCAGAAACCTGTCAACTGGGAATAATTGTGGTTTTCAGAAAGGATCTTGCAGGGAACTTAGAAATCCTGAACTTTTGATTTCATATGTGAAGAGATTGGAGTTGAGGGAAAGGAGAATAATCTCTGTAGTCAGAAATGCAGATATTGGGTTCATGCCTTAAAAGTCCAACCAGCACAGCTAACCATTTTATGTCTGAGAGTGCTACAGTCACTCTGGAGAAAAGTCTTATTCTTCCTGCAGGGGCAGCTGTATCAGAAGAGCACGTATGCTATGGCAAATGTAGTCTAATTGGGGGAGGCAGTGAAACTGGTAGAACTTGCCTTTTCAGGCAGAACTGGAAAATAGGTGCAACACTGAATTCTGCCATAAAAAGATTTTTTTTTTCCTTTTGTCACCTCTGCAGTGGGCTGCCTGATTTTTAGCAGCTTGAAGTCAGAGTGTACAATAACAAGACACAGAATCAGCAACTCGGAATGATTAATTCTCCTTTTTCTTGGACTCTTCTCCCAGGCCATTAATGTCAAAATACTCCCTGTGAAGTCGGCTTGTACGCATATTGAAGGTGATGATAGTTAAATTCTGTCCTGTGCTATCCTCAAGCCTCTGGGACTGCACAAGCATAGCACAAAGCTGGATTTGTCCCCTTATTTGAAAGCCCTATCCTATATTTGTGTTTCGTGGGTAAAACCCCAAAGGAAGTGCATCCCCTGCTACATCAGCTGCAAAACTGTCCCTTTTTTCTCCATCACGCCACTGGAATGTGGACCCACAAAAGAGTTTCTGCAGGGTAATGCCACAGGCGTCAACTTCTCCATGTGTAAGTCCTCGCCCTGCAGTGAGCATAGCAGAATTCGAAACAGCTATCCTTTTTGAGGGAAGTGGGGCAAAAGAGGCATAGGTTGCAACATGTTTATGGCGGTGCGTGTGCGGTTATCACAGAGCAGCCGAAGTCTGGTAGCTCGACTGTGTGTCAAAGCCCTGAGCGAGCGAGCGAGCAAGATGCCTACCCAGAGTCTGTCATATTGCAGGGAATGAACTACTTGGAAGAACGTCGCTTGGTGCACCGTGATCTTGCTGCCAGGAACGTCCTTGTGAAAACTCCTCAACACGTGAAAATTACGGACTTTGGGCTGGCGAAACTGCTCGGCGCTGACGAGAAAGAGTATCACGCGGAGGGAGGCAAGGTAAAACGCGTCAGCGAATGAACCGCTGCATGCTTCTTTGGACATAGGTGTTGGTGCATCCGTGTGAGTCTCTGTTTTAAAAACAGGAAAACTAGAGTGGGTTTTTCGAAGGGCTCAGCTACAGTCACAGCTTGCTGCCTTTGAAGCCTGTGGGAGTCCTCTGAATTCAGCTGAAGCAGCGTTAGGCCAGCGTGACTGCAGTGGGAGCAGAGGTAGCAGGGCAGCGAATGCTTTTGAAATTCCCACCCAGAATGTCTGGGAAAAACCAAGATTATTAAAAAAACATAAAATAAAGCATGTCTGAATTCACCAGCGTAGCCAACACCAATAACATTGTGCAGTTTATGAAGAGAAAGGGAATGCTGTATATTTATAGCAGAAGAAAGACCTGTCAGACTTGGTTCAACACGCCTTCATGTTGTACTACGTGCTGATGGAGGGAATGTGTCCTGCTGAGAAATTGAAGAGAAGCTGCTTGTGAATATTGCAGAGACCATAAATGGAAACCACGTGAGCACAAATCAGTCTTCATCATACAGCCTGGGATTGTGTTTGTGTCTTGTTATGATAGGAGAACGTTAAAAAATAGTAACTTGCCTGTTAAAGATATTGCAAAACTAACTTATCAGAGGTACTTCCAATAAGCTGAATATTGCACAAGTTCCCAGGGTTCAGCATAGGAAATGAAAACAATAATAAAGGGCTTAGAAAGTTGCCTGCTCTTTCTCTCAGATAGTTGTGTTGGGTTTTCTTATTTCCTCCTGCAACCAAACTATTGGTTTAAACACCACCTGGTGGTAAATATTACTAATAAATTTTAGGTCAGTGTCTGATGGCTTATTTGTAAATCTTCCTAGGTTCCTATTAAATGGATGGCCTTGGAGTCAATTTTACACCGGATCTACACTCATCAAAGTGACGTCTGGAGTTACGGTGAGTCTAACAACATAGTTATAATTATTGTGAATGGGTTAGAACAATTACAGGATTTGCTAGTGACTCTTCGCAGCTTATTCCCTGTTTTCTTCCTACCTATTATCTGAAGATTGAGAGCTTAAACATTAATAATGGGCCAAAATCACCTATTGAACAAAGTAAAATTCCCATGAAATTGAATGCTGGTGAGGTGTAAGGTGATTTGCAGAATATGTTTTAACATCATGAGCCCTTTCCTGAAAGGAGCTGCGGGTAGGAGATTATGCTGCATTAGCTGAAGTTCTGCTCATGCTTTTCTTTAGCACCTTAATGTGAAGTATATGTAACTGGACTGACAATAAAGCAGCATAACTAGATGCAAGACTTAAAACCACCGGGCACGCTGCCGGTCAGCATAACTCTGCTGTGTTTGGCAGCGCTACTTCGGCAGCACTACTTTAGGTGAGGGCACAAACTTATTTTGTTGCAGTGGTCAGTGCTTTAGCCTACAATCGTTACCTGCCTATGCTTCAGTACAGGAGAGTCAGCAGGATGTATGCAATCCCAGTGTACCTGAGAGGACAACGTTAAAAGGGAAATAAGCCAATAACCTCCTTAGAGAGAATTCATTTTACACTTGGTATGGTTCATAGCTAATCTCAAAGAAGAGTAGAGAGGAAACTTTTCAGAGCAACTCATTCCATGATTTCCACTCATAGTCTTTTATATTCTTGGAAAATATTTAGTGCAGACGGTCGGGTCGTGTGTCTTTTTAGACAAAATACAGCCTTTGGTCCTTCTAATCCATTTATGTGTCTTGGCATCCAAAATCCTGTTTTGTATCCTAAGCTACCAGACCATCACAACAGCTACATCGCAGAGGACGTGGTATGTCAGCAAAAGAGACAGAGGCAGTTGTTTAGGAATCTTTCAAAAACTGCTGTTGCTCATTTCCAAAGAGATTGTTTTAAACAAAAAGACAACTTCCATTTCTAAACCACTTCCTAGGCTGGAGTCACAAGTTGGCAACCTGTATTAGCCTTCTGTGAGGCTGGGAAGTTTGTTGGATATTCAACACTGAGATATTAGTTGAGATTAAAAAACTTAAAGGAAACCATGATGATTTCTACCTGTTTTATTCATCTCTCTTTAAATTTGTGGTGGAAAATGCTTTTCCGTGATGGAGTGCTGGCAATTTAATACCTCTCGGCGAACCCTCGCTGCTCTGAAGGACACAGTCCTGCTCCCTATCTCCCACCGCAGTTTGCGGCTGGGCCAAGCACACCAGCTCCTGGGATAATCTCCCTCACTGTCTCCTTTTTCCACCATACAGGTGTGACAGTTTGGGAGCTCATGACATTTGGGTCCAAGCCGTACGATGGGATTCCTGCCAGCGAAATTTCCTCTGTCTTGGAGAAGGGCGAGCGTTTGCCTCAGCCGCCTATCTGTACCATCGATGTGTATATGATCATGGTCAAATGTGAGTTGAGCGCGTTTGGTGTGCAGTTGAATAAGGACAATTGCTTTAGTTATGCTGCGTTTATATACGCTATATTCTTGATCCCTGCATGGAAACATTATTATGTGAAACGAATGATGACACGAGAGTCTGTTCCAGCACCTCCTCTTTCCATCAGGAGCGCAGGATTTCGTTTTGTTAGCCGCTAATTCAGCCAGCAAACGGAATCACAACAGGTTTTCACTGTTTGCGCCACTGACTGATACTGTCACTTATTTCAAACAGGGTGAGACTGTCAAAACTGGCGTGACACCATTCCCTCTACCTGCTACGCTGGTTTAATATGTCTAGAAAAGAAAATTAATGCTGACTCCTCCTCCAAGCTCACCCTTAGTTCAGTGATATGTTTCCCCCAGCATTCACCCCCATGGGTTATGTGCTCCTTTTGCTAGCTGAAGGACGTAAGCAAAGACACCACAGTAATGGGAGACGCACACGAGGGTCCCGAATTCCTCAGCAGATCTCTTCCCTATTTTCAGATGGCTCCTTTTCAGTGCACAGCTTTTGCAGTAAAGTAGCACAAGAGCTAAGGGGTTTGTGAAGCACTTTTCTGCTGTTGTTTGGGCACGACAAAGGGCTTCAGCACCCAGAAGCTCGTCCCCTTTTCCCCCTACAGCAGCCACTCCAATCTCTGATTATTACCTTGCTTCCTGCCTGTCTTCAGAGCATGAATATCACATCTCCATTGCCCTTTCTGGTTAGTGCCTATGAGGACGCTCATAGGCAGCCCACTAGGTGGCATTTAAAGACCTTCTCAGTAGAGCAAAATGCCCCGTCCCTGACGTGGGATGATCACCCCCTAAGGCAGTACTTTTGGGGAGTCCTCGCTGCCGGGTTCGGCTCCATCAAGACAGGCAGCCCCACCGGGAGAGCCTGATCCCGTTCTCCCTGAGGGGAGCAGGAACCATATCCAAACATGCACACCAAACCTGGGACGTTAGCATGGCAGGAGCGTCCAGATCCCAAACCACTGTTCGGAAAACTCCTCCTCTGGACTTAAATGCAAGAGCATGGGAATCTGGGGGCTGATCCTTTCTTCTGCCAGAGGCTGAAGTTGCATGTCTTTCGCTGCCCTAGTCTCCCTATGTTCACAGCTGCCATCCCTGCTGAAGCAGTGCTGCTTTGCCTACAGGAATTCAGGATTGCTAGCCATCTCCTTGATAAGCAGAGATTATAAATTGAAATGTTCAAAATTATTGCACTACAAATTTTTACGCTTTTTTTTTTCAATAATGGTATTTAAACGTATGCAATTCAGAGATAAGTTGAGAACTAGTAGGTGCTACTTTTGCAGCAGCAGCAGCCTCCCAAATGTTCGCCTCAGTTTAAAAGTGAGAGGAATTTCTCTAACTGATAAGAACTGCATTGGAAGAATTTAGCAGGGGATCATATTGGTAGCCTGGCAAAAAGCCACTTGCACTGATGAGATTTTGTCTAAAGCAGATTTCAGATGACATATTATCACTTCATTCCTCCATTACTGGGGATAGGCCATTTCTTATGAGTTCTCCTAGACACACTGAACTTAACCTTTATTATTTTTCATTTTAAACTGAGGGGTCTCTAGATTGGTTCTTCTGTTAGTTGATACTAGAAGGCCTGAGTTTTCTAAGTAATTTCACATGTAAAAACACCAGTATCAATATTAGAAACCTCTTCTATCATTGATCCACACTAAGCTGTAGGATGTGCTTTTGTTAAAGCCCATTTACTAGTTGAATACAGCTTAGAAGTGGTTAATCTTTCAAAACGTCCCCAGTGTGGATTTTTAGAATTTTAGAAGGCATCTGGTACAAGGAGTAGAAAACTACAAGTGTAGTTTTTGCTTTAGACTTCCCCTGATCTCATGGAGCAGTGCAGCAAGGCGCAGACACTCCGGTCACAGCCCGTCTGCAGAGGCCTGCAGAAATTAGTTTGTTTCCCCTCCTTCAAGAGCTTTTTCAGAGCAGTTTTCATGTGGATTGATCCAGGCTGGTCACCTAGTAGTTATCCTCGGGATTGGTGCCTTATTATTGTAGTGGACCTGCCTGCCCAAGCTGAGGTTGGCCGTCAAGAGAGCGGACAGGCCCAGCCTGAAGCTTCTCCAGCCGTGCGGTTGTATTACCTTCTGTGTTTTTCCAGGACCAACAGGGTGTTCATTTTAAATGCTAAAATTGACACTAGCTAGTGGCTGGTGTGAATTAACTTTTATGGTTCACTTTTATGGTTATGATCACTTAGGTGGCCAATTTGCTTTCTTTATTCCATGCTTGACACAGTTCTTTCAGCAGTTACATTTTGTTTTAAACTCTGTGTTTGTCTGCCAAAATAACTTTATTTGTGCACTGCTTTCCCTGTTGTCCCTTCAGGCTGGATGATTGATGCTGACAGTCGTCCCAAGTTTCGTGAACTGATAGCGGAGTTCTCCAAAATGGCCCGTGACCCTTCACGCTATCTTGTTATACAGGTACTGAACACAATGGTAGGCAGATGTCCAATAGGCACTTAACATGATGCCCAAATCAATTAATGATGCATATAAAAATATACTCCTGGCCTGGTCAAAATACCAGTTTTTCCTTAATTGCCTGACTACCCCATAAACGAAGCCAGACATTATGGGCCCACAGTATGCATCAAATGTGTCTGTTCTCACGGTGTTCCTCCAGTTCGAGCGGAATGATTTGTTCTGCCTATATCATTTCTGGGTGCTGCAGTGAAATCTTTAATATACTGGCATTTTCTTAAAACTGAAAGATCCGGTATAAATGGCACAGATGTGAGGGAGAGAAATCTGACTCAAATGACAGTTTTACATTTCAGAGAATTAGGGAAGTAGATCTACTAGACTGTTTATCTCCCTGCCAGTGGAGGATTATTTCCTATTATGTGTTTGCTGAAAGTCAATGTGGAAAGAGAAACAATTTAGGAAAATAAGAGCAATTTCAGAATAGATCTTGAACATCTTATCTGGCTTTGATGGTAAAAGGAAACAGAGCAGAACTGTGCTCTGTGGAGTGACAGAGCTGTTTCACAAAGTTCACAGTCAGTAACATCAGTATGAGTTGAGGAAATATATTTCCATTAATTTGTAGCTCATGTTGATAATGTAAGGCAGGATTTACTGGATGGGCTTTACTGAGAGTCCTCTCTCACGGTGGTGTGTCTAACAGGGAGATGAAAGGATGCACTTGCCCAGCCCCACGGATTCAAAGTTTTATCGCACCCTGATGGAAGAGGAAGACATGGAAGATATAGTGGATGCAGACGAATATCTCGTTCCACACCAAGGATTTTTCAACAGCCCCTCAACATCCCGGACTCCACTTTTGAGTTCATTGGTATGAAACTTTTCATCGATGAATACAGGCCAAGCAATTTTGAAATGAACTGTTGCTCATGTGACGTCTGTATTTTCTCTCTCTCTCTTTTAAAAAGAGTGCTACTAGCAACAATTCTGCCACAACCTGTATTGACAGAAATGGGGTAAGTGTCATGACTTTTGAAAAAGGAGTAGCGGCATTGGAAGATCCTTTTCCTTTCAAACCCCCTTGCCTTCCCTTTTGTTCATTCATTTTTGTGCCTCAACATCTACAAAACACTCCCTTTAATACCAGTTTTCTGAACCTGTGTTTCCAAACTAGCAGGGACACCCGGTGAGGGAAGACAGCTTTGCCCAGAGGTATAGTTCAGACCCAACAGGCGCTTTCTTGGAGGACAGCATTGATGATGGCTTCCTGCCTGCTCCAGGTGAGTACCTCTCCTGTATTTCCATCCTAAGGGCCCTTCATTGGCAAGCCATGCGGTTAGGTCTTTGAGGGTTCTTGCTCAAACATAACGATTTTCCTTCCTTTTCCACAGAAAAGAAACAACCCTAATGCTTCCTACCCTTTTCTTGCTCAGTGAACAAGACAATGGATACACCTTTGGAAAATGCATGCACATTTCCTTTCCTTGCACTTTTTCTAGCTGCTTCTGACTGCCTCTCACTTCACTTACTTCACCTGCCAGATTCCTCATGTTTGCTGTGTGCCATCTGGCCAGGGATTTTGCATATGTGTGTATATATTTAAAGTTTTCTATTATTCCTGCACTCCAGAAAACTTCCTCTAAAAATCACTTGCACCCCTTAAATCATTTCTGCAATATAAAGAGTTTTGTTCGTTTCAATGCTTTCAAATGTTGATATACAGAGGGAAGTTCACAGTTTGACGTGAACTTACGGAGTGGGCAGCCAGAACACAAGGCAGTGAGCACTGAGGGACCTGGTGCTGGGTTATGCACTCACAACGTCTCGTATCCGTACAAAAAAATCCAACAACAACACCAAAACAAAACCCACGCCGTTGAAAAGAGAAGAAGACCCAGCAAGGACTGGCATTTAAGTGAGATGCGGAGTCCCTGTTACTGCCTGTCCTGTATTTCCTAGGCATAAATCCTCATCTCTGAACGGTTTTCTGCAGAAACAGCTTCTGGCAGCTAAACTCTCTGACTGAAATTTCAGAACAGTGCATGGGACTTAGCCACGTAAATATCACTAAAATCAGCAATACCTATCTTGCTGTCTCATGGTTGAAGTCATCTTTCTGCTGCTTTGCAAATTTAATTCCTGAAGGCTGGTTTCAGGGCACTGCATTTTGTGCCACAAAATGGCAGTCACTGCATTTGGCTCTCTCCAAATCCTAGTGCAGAGCTAGGAAGTTCAGTGGGAAGCTGCGTGTGAGAAGCAAGCTGCACGTGGGTTAAAGCTACACATCAAATCATGCAAGTAGCCACATTAGTTATATGTCGTCTTAACCACTCTCTCTCTTTTTTTAATTCCAGAGTACGTAAACCAGTTGATGCCCAAGAAAACAACTGTGGCAGTGGTCCAGAATCCGATCTACAACAACTGCTCTCTCACAGGAAACTCAAAGCTCTCCACGGACTCGGGCTACCAGAATTCCCACAGCACAGCCGTGGACAACCCCGAGTATCTCAACACCAGCCAGTCTCCTTTGGGCAAAACAGTCTTCGAGAGCTCTCCTTATTGGATCCAGGCGGGCAATCACCAAATAAACCTGGACAATCCTGACTATCAGCAGGACTTCTTACCGAAGGAAAACAAATCTAACGGTCTCTTGAAAGTTCCTGCAGCAGAAAACCCTGAGTACTTAAGGGTAGCAGCACCAAAAAGCGAATATATTGAAGCCTCAGCATGACCCTAGAGAATTTCCTCTTGCAGTGAGGCAAGCCAGACTCTGGGTGAATCACCTGGCTGCTGCAAGAACAGACTGCATAGAGCGATCGGCAACCGCGATGCATCAACAAGCACATCTTTCCCTTCCAGCAAGTGGGTTGAAATTTGACAATATGATTTGGGTGTTTTCTTGCTCATTTCTGTGTAATAACTTAGGCCCATACGCTGCACTTGGATGCGTGTTGGAACAGAGTGAGATCTTCCTGCACAGAAGAACTAGCGGGTGCATTCCTTTCATTTTCAAATGGTAGCATTGTAAGAAGCCATTCTGGGGTGAACTTGAGAGCTGCACACATTGTACAGTCAAATTCCTTTCTACAGTGTGTATTTTTATAAATGTTTCTAGCAGAATTTTTGGATCTTTTACAAGATCAGATGCTTGTACTGCTGGTCTGTTACGTGGTGCTCAGATCATCAACAAGGAAAAAAAATGATGTTATTAAATACTCTTGAGCAGAGTTTTCCAAAAGTCCTGGAACATAAATAGCTATTTCAAACGATCGCATTTTTTACAAATCAGCTCCATATACCACTTCTTGGCTTGAACAGGAAAAATGCATCTAGGGGACGTATGGGTGAGTCTGTTCACGGAAGTATGAAGTGGATCACTCTGGGGGAAACTAGTACAAGGACGAACGGCAAGACACATCGCCTACTGACCACTATGCTAAAAACTGACAGGAGGAACTCAGCTCAAAGCCCTTTATAAATGTTTATAAAGTGCTCACTAGTCTGTTTTCTGATGGTCAAACACGAGACATTTTTTTTTCTGCTCCATTATGCAGCTGTAGCATTGTCAGAAATGCCTTTTCTTTTTTTAAACAAAACCGTTAAAGATGTTGCCGTAACTGAAAAATGAAGGGTCAAATAACATTTAACAGACTTTAATTAAATGTCAAGGAAATGCAAACGGTGGCAAACTGGAGCACTCGTGAGACAGACAGGCTGAAAGAACTACGCTAAATTAAACTTGACTAGGGCAAGAAACACAGGTAGCTCCATCCAAGCAGTTTTATTTCCCTCCTTAAAGCAGCTCAGCGCAGCAATCATTTTCCTGCGTACATTTGGCAAAGAAAAGGGGCACGTCCGCGTTTCACTTTACTGACCTCAAGGCAGTTGCTGCCAATTGCTGTATCGTTGTAGGGCAGGGGCCGGGGCTGCTTGCCTGACTGTCGCTGTCCCACGGGGGAAACCACTTATCCTGGCAATGCGGAAAGTGCCTGGCGAAATGAATTAAGGAGAGGAAGAAAAATCCGGGATGATGGAAAAGGCCATCGTCCTCTTCTGAAGCACAGGGCTGCCTACTGCTCCTTTAAATACCCAGTCTCATCTTCTGTTGTCACAGTGGGATAGGCAGACTAGCCAAGGCAAACATTTTAGCTTAATAGGATAAATACACTGCGTGCCGATGGTATGTAAATCACAGGAGCAGAAGAAGCTGCTCCTTCGAGGGGCCTGTGTTAGGGAACGGGAGGGCCTTTCGTCATTCATGTTTCTTACAACAGGAGCGGGAGTAAAATGCTTCCGGTCTGAATTTAGTGAGTAATTTAGAACCATCCCACCACCACTTTGGCAGTAGCGTTTTAATCAAATCAGAGAAATGAAACGCGCGTTTGGTGATTTTTCTGCTAAGGCCCTTATCTAGCTGAGCGTTAGGAATTTGCTCGAGGTAGCATAAGCAGCTGAGTTGCAGATGTGGTGTTTTTTAAGGAGCAAGAAATTGTCAATTTTATGCTGCCAATATGTTTCGAATGTTGCAGTATGTATTTCAGTTTACATAGTGCATCTGGAGTCCAGGATCAAGCAGAAAATCCTTAGAAAATCCTTAGTTTTTGCAGATTTATTGAGGATTGTTGGAAAAGAATGATCATGTGAAATGACCCCTTTTAAAAGTAATGCAGCGTAAAATGCATTTATGGCTTGTATACGTGCAGCAGTTCATCAGCCACACAGCGGTCTGGGGTAGCGCAGTATGTTTGGTCAAAATCCAAAGGTTGTCCTGTTGTGCTCTTTGGTACAACTGTGTCACAGTGACCAAGTCCCAGTCACAGCCTTACGGAGGGTGCAGGGTTTGGCTTTGATTATTGCTGCCTGGTATTCAAAACATAAACTAGAATCTAGTTCCCACGTCCAGTTAACGGCGCATTTCTCCTTGCATTCCTGAGAACAGATTTGTTGTGCTGCTCTCCTAAGCGTGTAACATGTACATGCAGGCAGTGCCGCTTCTCTCCCTGCACTGCCCCAGAAAAAAAATATATTAAAAAATCCAAAAGTATTTTAATGGAAATCATGGAAAAATTATCAGTTTGCAGAATCTGTTATGTCTCCAAGCAGAACACTAGAAAATTATAGAGTGCAATGTTTTCCTACAGAAACTAACACTATTATGCAAAATAATTTATTTATATTTTAATTATTTGAATCTGTTATCTAAAACAAAAAAACACTAAGAAGTAGCAGCATGTATCACCAGCATTATGTAGCATGAAAACTTTTTAACACAGAATAATATGCTTGCCTTTTTAAAACAATTTATGAGGGCCTGGGTAACAACTCATTATTAGAACCACGGAGACTTAGTTAGAAACTCAGAAATATAAGTTTGAAAGATCTTCCTTGTTTAAACATATTGTTTTTGTTGAGAAATTTAGGCGAGAGGCTGTAGAAACCACAGGCTTTTGATACAAATGTATAAGAAGATTCCAGATTTACGGGCTTAGCAATACTGTAAAATAATTCTTGTATGCATCCTCTAAGCTGTAATTTGCAAATAGGCAGCTCAGTAACGATTTGAAAGTCAGCAAAAATAAAAAATAGGCAGTGCACTGTAGTCTAGGAGGACTTCCTCCAGGCAGATACGGTGGCGCTGGGAGTGGAGGGACTGTGCAGCAGCATGGCTCTCGCTGGAGGCATAGGGGCTAAGAGACATTAGCAATGTACTAAATTATTTCCTCTGTTGAAAAAAAAAAAACAATATGCAGCTGAAATGATTTATTTTTCCTGCTGTAGCTCACAGACCGTGTAGCAGCAAGGAGCTCACTGCAGCTCATGGGTGCTCAGAAAGCCCAACATGGTTACGCTGCAGTTTCATGGTGGTCGTGGGATCTTGCTGACGGAGCGTTTTATGGATTTTAATGCTACTTGAATGGGCCATGAATCTTATGTTTTTACAGAGATGAGCAAAATAAACACGCTGCATCTTGAGATCTTAGGTAAATCATCATCCAAATATAACTTGAAAGTTCTGCTGTTGTCTCTCAGGAGCTGTGGGTGTAAAATGCTGATTTTTAAAGTACAACTAACCAGGGAAATGTAGCAGGCCACAGCCACTTTTAAAAGCTAAGTCTTACCAATAAAGATAATAACAATTTTCATTTTTACTGTATTTCTCATGGAAGACAAAATGACACCACTTGAAAGTTAGAGTGCTTAGCATCTCTTAATCACTGGAGTAGCAGTTAATAGGGAACTATTTTTGTAATAATAATTTAAACACAACATACTCAGAGACTTCCAATAACTGCAAAATACGTGGAAATAAGTCACAGCCTTCATGCTACCTTGATGTTTTTCAGTGATCTATGTACTTTACTTCATTTGGGCCTTAGGTTGTTTTGTTTTGCTCTAAAGGGAGTTGTCTTGGGAAATTTCCTTCGTGTTGCAGTAGGTCTTGTAGCGTAAATTCATCCGAGTCCAGTGGCGTGCTCTTGCTTCCAGCTGACAGGCAACAAGGTGATGAGTTTTCTAGTGAGACTTGTTTGAAATAGATGACATGCATCATAGATTTAGAGTGCCTAAAGGTGATTTACTGTCCCCTTATGTCACGCTCAGATAGTCACATGAAGCCCCGACGTTAGAAAATACAGTCGTGTGGTTCATTTGACAGGAGAGGGCTCTTGTAGGGAGAACGGTGCCAGGGGAAGGGGCAGAGCCGACAAAGCCGTACGCGATACAGATGCCAAATTTGCCAGGGGACGTCAGTGAAGTCATTGACTTCTACTGCAGAGCAGAGGTGGGAGTAGCTGTACAAATGGCTCCTGCCTCTATGGCTGGCTTGAAGCTAAATCTGCTGCACTTCTACAGAGATTGTTGTGCAAAACCCAGTGGACTCGGCCTTCGTACTACGGGGCAAATTTCCCCCTGGGCCTGAAAGCCACAGCTAGGAGTATTGCAGTGTAGCAGGACTGCAGATGGTTTAAGCAGCTCCCATCACCAGGTGCCTGGGCGATCCATCTAGGGGTGGTCCATCTAGGGGTGCTTCAGGGTGTCAGTGAGAAACTTTGCATTTCCTGACAAGTGCTCATTTTTCAGCTTCAGAGTTCAACATCCTCTGTTAGCATGACTGCTCCCTGTCCAAATGAGCAGTTACAGCTGCTCTGGCTTTTATTTCCCCCTGCATTTCTCTGTGAGAAAACATTTGAATCAGGACAAAGTATGAAAATGTACTCACATCCTCCCTCCTGATGAAAATGGTATATTGATGAAATGTCAGACTCTGTGTATAACGCTTAGCAAGAATGCTTTGTAATGTTTTATCACCACGAATCCAAATTTTTATATTGGAATCCCATTTCCTAGCTTTGTTTTGGTAAGTTTTATTTGTTGCTTTTGTCATACAACTTTTAAGGAGCCTTTTTAAAAAAATAAATTAATAGAAAAAAAAGAGTTTATCCAAAAGAAAAGCATGACACCTTCAAGTAGCTTGTTAAATGGGCTGCATTAGGACCAAAGATACAATGTCTTATTTTCTTGCTTTAAAGTAATATGGTGTTGATCACCACTCCCACAGCATCCCATTACAGGAAAAAGCTATAGCTCTCCATTCTTCACTGGGATCAGCCCAGAGCACCACTAAGCCAGGAGGGCTTGACCTGAAGATGAAGCCTGTCCATTGAAAACAGAACTAAAAATCAGGACCTGGCATCGCTTTAGGGCTGCATCTAGAGCCTTTATTTTGATTCATTCTCTACTCACACAACCCCCAAACAAGAACACTGTTAGGTTAGGAAAAAAGAAAAAAATATATATAATGTTTGGACTCAGCATCAGGAAAAAATAAAAAGAAGTGAAGATGATCCATGATTAGATAACTGCTTTTTAACTGAGGAAGTGTGTAGGCAGGCAGTGAGACTTTAAGACGATAACACTTCTGGTTATGTATTACTTGAATTATGTGGGGGGGTCACACTTTCATGACTGGCTTTACCTGCCGCCACATGCTCTGGCTACTTTCGACACTACGTGTATTTCCAGAGCGTTTGTATTATCGTGGCCTTGTGGACTGAGACCTGTGGTTCATTTGTGTCGCTAAGAGGTACTGCGTATGAGCCCCTTATTCTTTTACATGGGAAGCTGAATGCAACAGGGAGAGGCGTGCGGAGATTTTAGGCTGTACCTCAGTTAGCAGTCAAGCAAATCCTCGGTAGTGTCAGAGAAAAGGGTTTCCTGAGCAAAAACAGAGAATGGGAGACCTAGCTGGCAAAACCCATGTTACTTCTTATGCCACTGAGGTCAATGGCCAAACGTGTTCAGCCAAGGCTGAGGCCTTTGTGTTCGCTCTCATCTTCGTACGTGTTCAGCTTTGTCCCAGACGGGGCTGTCTGGATGCAAGGCAGCATGGGCTTTGTGGTCTCTGCAGCTCTCTCCTTGAAGTAAAGTGTTTTCTGATTAATAAGGTGAAAAATCAAAAATTAAAACCATAGCTGTGGACCTAATGACTGGACTTGTTGAGGGTTTTGTTCCTGTGTAGCTGATACGGTACATCCTTTCCAGTTCCTCTGGAATTTATCCAAACCAGCCTCCTAATCTCTCATGATTTAGCTGAAGAGTATGGATTTTCAAACACCACCAATGTTATCCTGATGTTTTAAGAAGGGGAATACGTGAAGTAGTTGCCTATAATGGTAAGAGATTTGGCTTACATACCTGGAAGGTTCCTTTCCAACCCTGTGTTCCTAACCTTGCTCCCCTTGAAATCATTAGAAAGTTTAATTTGATTTCATTGAGAGTATAAAATGAGGCTAATGTTGAGTGATTTTGAAAATCCCTCACAATTATCAGAGATCCTATGGATCCACTGCCCATTTTAGGCTGCTTTGTATCGATGCAATCAACTGAGTATAAGGAATAATGTCTTGGTTTTAATCAACTATCAAGCAATATATCCATAGATCCAGATGGTACCCTTGCAGCATTGTAAAGTTACTCAACTATGAAAGCACTATTTGTACAATAAGAAACTCTTGACTTTTATATGGTTTAATGGTTTATACTGTTGATCAAAGATTGTTTGTATATTGAGCGATAAAAATGAGGTGTATATTATTCTTTTTAATTGTTTTTAATTTTTGGAGAATGTTTATTGTAATATACTGTTGTATTTGGGCGGGAAGAAATCACAGTGGCTAGCTTGTAGGGTTTTTAGCTAGAGGAAGAACTCACATTAAGGGTTCTTCACTGATGGACCTAGATTTCTGTAAAAGTTGTCACCTTGGGGATTTATCCAGAGCTTAGCAAAGGTAATAACAGGACCCTTTCCTCTCTCCAGGACTCTCTGGATCTTTCCGTGCATCATGCTGGAGTTTCATAATGTGAGCTACAAAACAGCTCACAATTCTAACCGTTGGAAGTGCAATATGAAAGCCCAGGTGCTGTTTAGCAGGGCAATAATAAAAGCTGCTCTTTTGAAATGCATGGCAGGTTCTCACTTCAATTTTATGACAAACACAAAAGCATTGTCAACGCAGTCCCTCAAGTTCAGATCCATTTGGGTTATAAGGCCATTCTTTGGCCACTTGTGAATTGTATAATTGCGAGTTGTGCAACAGCACCACAGCAGGACTCCCTTCATATGGAAAGGCAAAATAACAAGGTCTCCACTGCAGTCACACTCATGCAAAACACAGATTGTACCATTAGAAGCAAAGGGAACACATGGGAACGCACAGGAAAGCTGTGAACTTTTAACTTTAATGCAGTATAGGAAAGATGTGTGGAAGAACAGTTGTACACTAGCAAGAAAGAGAGATTTTGTCAGCAAAGCCACTCAAATGAAGCCCAAGGGTCCCCTGATAATCTAACATAAATAATCCTAATATGTTAATAATCTAGCAGGTTGGATTCGTAGCAGACAAAGATAAAAGGAATTATGAGGTCCTAAATGTAGTGGAGATTTCTGTGAAGTGTTTGGGAGGAAAAGAAGAGTTATCTCTGTTCTCCAGAAGCAAAATACATTGGGTTGACAAGACAGTGGAGAGAGAGGAGCTGGAACTGTCAGTACACATTCAGCCTGGATAAGTCCCTGGTATCATGATTAGTAAATTAAATCTTTTTTGTTTTTATAGATGAACTTCGTACACAGAAAAAAGCCACTACAGCACCTTTCTCGTTTTCATCTTTCCATCGAGTCCCTTCCAATACGTAGGCAATACGTAGGCTGCATGCTTTACCAACTCAACTTATTTTATGCAGAAATGACGTAGTCTTAATCTTCATATTACTGGTTCTCAGAAATGTCTAATGCGTATTAATGCATGATATTTTTATTTTAATAAAAGTAATTAAATAAATCTTTGCTGGTTTGGGGCTTGTTTTATTTTTTCCTCCTTGGCGATCACCATTTGGCTTGTGGAAACTCTATATAAGTTAATGCCGTGAACTTGAGAAGGAAACTGGAATATATGTTGTACTGCCATACACCTCCTCTATGAAGATCACAAAACAGCTGGCAGGTTCTAAAGTCTTCTTTAGGAGACAGGAAATTCTGCTGTTCTTATTCCACAGATAGGAAAACAGAGGTGCAGCAGTGTCTCTATACTTACCTCATAGAGATGGAGACACTGGTGGGGATAAATCCCACAATCAAAGCACTGTAAGAGAGGAACTTAGAATAGAGAATAACATAGGTATAGAAATGTGTGGATATTTGAGAAGACTGAGCATTCAGGAATTCCACTGAACTCAGTGTTGCCAACTTAAAATAACTGAAATGTAAAGTGACAAAGGGTACAAAAGGATAAGAGAGCCAAAGAAACACAACTGCTGGGGTTTAATCCCTAGGTGGTTTAATCCACCCCTAGCTGCCTGTGCAGGATATGATAGGTTAAGAAAGACAGAGAAAAATTACTCTATAAATATAGAAGAGGAATACTAGACTCTTTCTGCTTCTAAACTCAAGAGGGGGGGAAAAAAAGTGAGTGAGCCTTTGGGGAATTAAGCCGAATGGATAATAATTATGTTAGATTGTGTAAAAAATTTCCAAGGCAGCCAATAAGAAAAACTACGTACTCTGAAGAGACCCACCACCATAGTCTGACCACCTGCTATGCTGCCTGGGTCAGATCTAAATGCCTGTTAAAGCCCTGTAAACCAAAGCCCTTGATTGAGCCCACCTTCTGCCTGGGGCAACGTGGCCAGGCTTCCTATCCAGTCAGGGAGGCAGCTAGGCTGCCTGCTTTAGGGACTCATGAGGTGAAGAGGGGTTAAGGGGATGCCTGGATAAGGTGCCTATTATAGGAGAAAAGTCAGCAGTTCCTCTCCAATCTAGATCCAGAGCTACAAAGTTGGAATATCATTAAATCATAAGTTACCTGGGGGTAGGTGTGTGACTGTGGGCCAGCTCTTATCTCCTCTTGGTATGCTATTAATGCCTTTTACTACACCTACAGCGCAGTGCTGCTGGTTGAAGCATCATGATTTTCCACATGGCATCAAGTCTCTCACTTCCTAACCCATTGCCTGCTGCCATGTGGGACTGCAGGTGCTTTCTGCCTGAAGCATGGCACCACGATAAATATGGGTTGCTGCTTCTTGCATTGCTCTTCAGGACTGTTACATTTCGGCAGTAATTTGTCACAGCTGGCCTTGCTCATTCCTGCCCTACAGCTGGCAACTGGGGCAAAGCTTCTGAAGCAGCATTTAGCTAGAGGTATTTATACCTGGCAAGAGTCTGGCCGTGAAGAAAGACCTTGCAATTACCAAACATAGAGGTCAGTAACTGAAGTTGCTGCCATAAAGTTGCATCATGTACATTGACAACTAAAGGCTTGGCTATTTTAAATTCTGGGCAGCAGTAGGGGAGCATAGTTCATCCCATATGTCGGTGCCTCCCAGGTCAGACCCATGGCAGCCCTTCAGGAGCGGCGCTGCTGGCCCAGCATGCGCTGAGGGACGTGTCCTGCTCAGAGCCCTTTGCCTCGGTGGCCCCGGCAGATAAGCTGCGCTGGCAAGTGGCACTCAGGGTTGGGTGGGCTTCCCCTGCACTCCCCTGATCAGGGCCAGAGGTGACCTGTTTGGAGCCTACCCTTAAGTATATATTGTGGAGTAAGTCCTCAGCCCCAAAATATGGATTATTGATGCTGCTTCGCTGGGACAGGAGCTGAGGCTGGAGCTCAGGCAGTGAGCTAAATTGTTCACAGGGAATTGAGCTCTCTCCCCTAAGCATCATCTGTGTGAAGTTTAACACCAGACCTCTTAGTGCAGAAAACCTTTCACTTTAAAGCCTTCTTTTTAAAGATAGCAGAAGGAGTCTTATTTATGTGTGTGTTAACCCCAGAGACTGCTGCTTTCGGTGAGTTATAGCACCATGAAACCAAACTAGCAAAGAAATAACGCAGTAAGTGTTTGTATTCTTTACCCAATACCATACGGGTTGGTTTATATTGTCTTTTTTTTTTTAATTTTGGTCACAGATTTATGCATTACACCAGACTTCACTGGACACTGGCATTCTCAGATAGGAGCGATGATGATGTAGGAGATGGCTATTCTTGGCTCACAGACTGCTTTTCTTTAACTGAATTTGTTCTGACGCTCTTAAAAAGCCAAAGTACAGTTAATAAGGGCAGCAGCTGCCTTCATCAGTTTCCATCTAGCTTTTGGAGTCTGTTAAATCACCAAAAGCAGAGGCATTTCATGCAGGCTTACTGCTTGTGGATAACGAATGCAGCAATGTGCTCTGCTACCACTCATGGACACCAAGGCCTGCTAGGACAACCCGTGCTGGATTAGGCATAAGCACAGCTAGAAAATGGCTCTTGCCCAGCACACAGGTAAGCTCCTTCA